AGAATTACTTGTTACTTGCAACTTAGTGACTTGTTCCCACCTCTGCCCAGTTTATCTGAGTATTATTGCTGACCTTCTGCATCCCATTATGACCACAATCTCCTAAAGGCTACTTCCAGCATGATAATGCATCTTTTCCCAAAGCACATGATCTCAAACTGCTTCCATGAGTTCAGTGAACTTCAATGGCCTTCAAAGCCACCAGATCTGAATCCAGTAGAGCTGCTGTGAGAGAACGTGGTAGAACAGGAGCTTCACAGTGTGAATAACATGGTCAACATGGATCAGAATCTCTAAGGAACGCTTTGTTGAATCCGCAACACAAATAATTCAGGCTGTTCTGAGAGGAACCCAGCATTAGAATCACATCCTAATAAAGAACACGGTGATGTTTTAGCCACAGATCACTAAGAACAGCACCCGGTCAGAAAGGCCACCGACGCAGCAGAGCTGCTTTGCCTGGTCTCGTCTCCTCAGGGTTTGGAGATGGACGCTGTGTTTGCACTCCATTATGGAAATTGAGATGGCTTTGAAGCATCTGACGCGGTTGCTTAGAGACAACACTTCTGCGTCACATCTGGCACGGCCATCAATAACCAACACAATAGCGTTCTCTCTGACTCGGCCGCCCATTCTCCTACCCGCTGATCTCTGAATGGATTAAAGCTAATATTAGCGCGCGGAGGGCCTGAGATCTGTGGAGATGATATGAAAACACAGTCATTGTTCTGGACCAAATAGCAGCTGCCTGTGAAAACAAAGAGTGCTTGTCTTCTTCATTTCATCTGTTTTCTATCCATGTTTTGGGGTGTCTTTTCATAAGAAGCGACCAGGACTTAATAAATTAGCCTTACCAAGGTGTGAGTACAGGGGGTCCTGGGGGGCCTGGGACCCTCTAATCAACCTCCTGGACCCCCCAATTGTTTCAAAATCAAGATTCAGGGTGGGTCCCTGAAAATGACCTTATTATGATGCTCTGCTGTCTGTTAGGTTTAAATAGATGCTCAAATACAGATTCAGGGTTCTATATAGTACCAAAAAAGGGTTCTTTGGCTTGTAATAATAGTGGAATCCTTTTTGGTGCTATATAGAACCCATTTCAAAAGGTTCTATATAGAGCCATCTATAACACATTTTCTATCGATCTGAGAAACGCTTTCATGATGCATAGAACCCTTAAATCATGCAAAGGGTTTTTTGAGTGTTAATGGTTCAATATAGCACCATTTTCTTGAGTAAAGAACCCTTGAAGAACCATATTTTTTATGAATGTACTTAAATGGTTCTTTGCATGCTTAAATGGTTCTTCAGATTGATTGAATGTTGAGCCTGTAACAATGGAAGAACTCTTTTTGGTTCTGTATAGCACCAAAAATGGTTCTGGGTTTGGCTGTTGTTACAGTGGCAAGCTTGTAACAATGGAAGAACCCTTTTCGATGCTAAATAGAACCATTTTCAGCAAGGTTCTACTTCCAGCATGATAATGCGTCTTTTCCCAAAGCACAAGATCTCAAACCGCTTCCATGAGTTCAGTGAACTTCAATGGCCTTCAAAGCCACCAGATCTGTTCTCTATATAGAACCATTTATAACACGCTTTCTCAATCAGTCTGATGAACGATTTCACCATTTTGAACCATGAGTTATACATAGAACCGTTTCCTTTAAGCATGAAATGGTTCTATGTGTAACTCATGGTTCTAAATAGAATTTTTTTTAGATTGTTAAACCAAACATTTTGCTGCTGTTGAAGCATCAGCGCCCCCAGCTGAAGGGGTCACTTCACACACTGGGCCTAAATAAGCATTACTAAGTGTAAAAATGCTAATTAAGATGTGTGTAAGTCCCCAAACGTTCCAGGTTAAATGCCACGTTCTTCTCACTGACACGTCAGAGAGTGAGCAGCGTTACTCATCACATCGGCCTCTCGCTCATTTCAGAGAAACCAGCGCAGGTTAAAGCCGAGCGTGACTGCAACACTCTTCTTTTTTAGAGCCGAAAAACAGGAAGTCTCCAAAGGCCAGCTCATAAAAATATCATTTGGGAGAGGTTGCTCAGAAATTTCAACGTTTCCTCTTTTAGACACATCACACTTCCCTGCCCAAGTTTCCCTTTAAAACAGAACGCAAAACAGCACAATCAAAAAAAGATATATGATTTATGCGATGCAAAATAGTATTGTGATACTTTCTGGGAAAAAATGTCATCACAGAGGCCTAAAAATGCATTTTTTTCTAACAACACTTTATGCTGAGGGTCATAAACGAATTAACGCATGTAGTTACCATTATTGCTGCATTAGTTAACTGTTTATTAAGCATTAGTTAATAGTTAGTAACTGTGTAAGTACACTGTAATGACAGTTCACAGCTTATTTACTCTTAATTCTGAATTAACTGCTGTTTATTACATGGATAAATGTGTTTACTCATATGAAGAAGTAACAAGAGAACTTATTCACTTACGATTTAATAATTAATAATAATTTAGTCTCGTTAATGCTATTCTGTGCTGTAGATTGTCCAAAAAGGGTTCTATGTAGCATCAAAAAGGGTTCCACTATTGTTACAAGCCAAAGAACCCTTTGAGGTATTATATAAACTCCTTTCTGCTAAGAGCGTGGTTCTTTGCATGCTTAAATCATTCTTCAGATTGATGTAGAATGGGCTGCATTTGCTTCTATGTAGGAGTTTTTAGAAAATGGTTCTTGGTTCTGCTATTGTTATGATGTCAAACTTGTAACAATGGAAGAACCCTTTTTGGTGCTACATTGAACCATTTTCAAAAAGGTGCTGTATAGAACCATGTAGAACATATTCTCCATCAATCTGAAGAACCATTTAGAACCATGAGTTATACATAGAACACAGAATACATTTCATTTAAGCATGAAATGGTTCTATATATAACTCATGGTTCTAAATAGAATCATAACTTTGAAGATCCATATTTTTAACTATGTACTCAGTCGGTAATTACAATGTACTTAATCAGTTACTAAGGAAAAAACATGTTTAAAGAACTGCTAACTGATATAACAACAATGATTAATCAGTTATTTACTAGAAACATAATTAATAATTAATTTGTGACCCTGAATGTGAAGAATAATTAATATTTTTATGGATATTATGTCCACTGCCAGACCAATGTGACTCCAAAATGCACTGTTGTATCACTCCACAAGGTGGCGCTGGGAAGTTTTTCTTTCCGATGAGAACAAAAGGCAGATTAACTAAGAGAGGCACTAATTAACTACAGTCTGCAGACTTTTTGCATCAGTAGAGGGGCGTCCAGTTCAACAGGTGTTACACTGAGATCTTTCATGCAAATGTAAACAAGCACAAAATTATGAAGGAGGAGACTGACCGGAAAACGAAAGTGAAAGCTTGTAATGCTAAACATGCCATCTGTTTGACACAGAAATACAAACAGCCAGATTAAGCCACAGGTGGAACCCCCCCCACCCACCCATTGTGGAGATATTTGCATGCGCAGTGGCCCAAACAAGTCCCAGCCACATTCTGATTACTACACCGAGCTGTGTGATGTTCACAAAACACATACCTCAATTACATTATATGGCCTAAAGTATGTGGACACCTGGCCATCAGACCTACATGAGCTTGCTGGATGTCCCATTCTAAAACCATGTGCATTAATATGGAGTTGCCCCCCTTTGCGGCTCTAACAGCCTCCACTCTTCTGGGAAGCTTCCCACAAGATTTTGGAGAGTGTCTGTGGGAATTTGTGTCCATTCAGTCAAAAGAGCATTTGTGAGGTCAGACACTGATGTTGGACGAGAGGGTCTGACTCACAATCGACGTTCTAGTTCATCCCTAAAGGTGTTCAGTGGGGTTGAGGTCAGGGCTCTGTGTGGCCACTGGAGTTCCTCCACACCAAACTGGTCACTCCATGTCTTTATGGAGCTGCTTTGTGCTCAGGGGCTCAGTCATGCTGGAACAGGAAAGGCTCTTCCCCAAACTGCTGACACAAAGCTGGAAGCAGATAACTGTGTAAAATGTCTTTGTGCTGCAGCACCAACATCACCCTTCACTGGAACTGAGGGGCCAAACTGAAAAACAGCCCAGCTCATCATCCCTCCTCCACCAAACTCTACTGCTGTCACTCTGCATTGTTCTCCTGGCATTCACCAAACCCAGAATCATCCAGTCCAGCGTGCTTTACTCCACTCCAGCCGACACTTGGCATTGCACATAGTGATCTTAGGCTTGTGTGCAGCTGCTCAGCCATGAAACCCATTTCGTGAAGCTCCTGACGCTCAGTTCTTTGCTGATGTTGCTCCCAGAGGTGGTCTGGAGCTCTGTAGTGAGTGATTTTTACATGCTTCAGCACTCGGTGGCTCACTGTGAGTTTACATGGTGTACCATTTTGTAGCTGAGCTGTTGTTGCTCCTAGATGCTTCCAATTCTCAATCATAGCACTTACAGTTGTCCAGGGCAGCTCTAGCAGGGCAGAAATGTAATGAACTGACTAGTGGCAAAGGTGGGGTCCTATGACAGTGCCATGTTTAAAGTCACTGAGCTCTTCAGTACAACCCATTCAACTGCCAATATCTATTCTACTCTATGGAGATTGATTTCATACACCTGTTAGCAATGGGCGTGGCTTAGAAAAGGTGTCCACACACTTTTGGCCATGCAGTATATACTGCTGCAAATTGCAATTGCCGTATAACTTACAACATATTAAAAACACATGAATATCATGCAGTGGTTCCTTGACTGTCCTGCGTTATTTTCACCACAATAATTGAGTTTTTGCTGGATTACATGAACTGTTTGATTCATCTGAACACCCACAGAAACTCATCAGGAGCTCTGATTGGTCACAGTAAACAACACAATCATTGGGGCTCAGTTTCTTAGTATTGCAAAGGCTGATATTAAGATAGCAATATATAAATGACATATTGTTCCGGCCTAATTTTAGGGTCTAAAATGAAATCTGCGAGTCTGCTGCGGCTCCAGAGTGACTGACCTGGTCTGATCAGGAGAGCGGGGGGGTAAATCATCGGCCCCTGGGACTGTGTCCTGCGCAGGGGTTTGTGGGTCCTGTAGTTTCCTCTTCCTTTACCTACACACAGGAGACACGAGAGACCAGGATGGTGTGAAAACTCCATTATAACATAAAATCAACTACCTCACTGTTATTTAGGGTGGTCCCAGTTTTAAAGGTGTGTTCTTAAAACGTATTAAATATTGTGATAAATATGTCATTGATGAACATTTTTGATACTTGTTCTGTTAAATCACTATTAGAGCTTTTTAGCTTCTCCTGAAAGTAAAGTTACAGTGATACCAGGTCAGTGACGACACACGGAACAATGCATAAAAAAGTATATTACATAAACAAAGACATCGTCTTCTAATTTAATTTCTTTTTGCTGTAATTTTGTTCATGTAAAATATACTTGGGGTTATACATGTTAGCTTGTGGCTAGAGCACTGGGTCAGGACACTATAAAGCTCATTAACTTTTATTTCAAATATTTTACTTTTATAGTGTTGAATAGTTTTAAAATGATCTAATAAACTGAGGAACCATTCATATTTTGATGCTAGGCAGATTTTCAGGCACTTCATATTTTTTGCTGTATTGCTATATCAAAAAATGTATTGAAATGAGAGACTACTGTATCAAATATATATATATATATATATATATATATATATATATATATATATATATATATACACACACACATTTTCTTCCGACAACAGAGATATACTCTTAAAAAAGGTGGTACTTTAAGGGTTCTTTAGCAAAGACAATGATAAAAGCGTTCTTCAGATTGATGGACAATGTCTCATATATGATTCTATATAGATGATGTCAAGACAATGTTCCAGTGTCAAGCTTGTAGAACAACCATTTTGATGCTGTATAGAACCATTTTCATAAAGAACCATATACAGCACATTCTCCATCAATCTGAAGAACACTTTCACCATGCAGAGAAACACATTAAGCACGACTTGTTTCTTTATAGAACTCATGGTTCTAAATAGAACCATTTCCTTTGCCAAAGAGCCCTTAAAGAAACATGTTCTTGAGTATATGTACATATATCTCCCCATACAGAAGATTTGTTGCTGTGTCTTTAAAAAGTAACCTGTGAGCCCTAAAAGGAGAATTTGTTGATTGTTTGTTCCCCTAATAGTAAGTTAGTAGAACTACATTCTTACATTCAGTTAACTTATTATTTAAAGTGCAATAAAATCTCAGATTAAAAGAGTGAATCATAATATTATAAAAACATAACATCACATGACTCACCGTCCTTCATCTTCATCACAGCACTTTCCTAAATCAGTGCGCTCTGCTCCACTTCTCTCTACAGCACTGCCAGCTCACAGATCACACTGTCAGACCACAAGTCCACTCTGTCACAATTCGAAAGCATGATAGGTCACAACTAATTCCTGTAACACGGCCAGAGGAAGTGACCGTTTGTGTGTTTGGAGTCGCTGTAGGGTTTCTGTAGACGTGAGCATGCGAAAGCAGCTGAATTCCCTTTTCCTCGACATGCTGGTGTGACAGATGAGAATCACAGCGGCCGTGTGGAGGCTGAGTCACTGCTCGCTCACTAACTCACTACATGCTGACTAACTCACTACACACTCACTAACTCACTACACACTCACTGACTCATTACATGCTGACTAACTCATTACACGCTCACTAACTCACTACTCACTACATACTAACTCACTACACACTCACTAACTCACTACATGCTCACTAAATCACTACATGCTCACCAACTCACTACATACTCACTAACTCACTACATGCTGACTAACTCATTACACGCTCACTAACTCACTACTCACTACATACTAACTCACTACATGCTCACTAATTCACTACATGCTCACTAACTCATTACATACTCACTAACTCACTACATGCTCACTAATTCACTACATGCTCACTAACTCATTACACACTCACTAACTCATTACATGCTCACTAACTCAATACATACTCACTAAATCACTACATGCTCACTAACTTACTACACACTCACTAACTCACTACATGCTGATTAACTCACTACACACTCACTAACTCACTACATACTAACTCATTACATGCTCACTAACTCACTACATGCTCACTAACTTACTACACACTCACTAACTCACTACATGCTGACTAACTCACTACACACTCACTAACTCACTACATACTCACTAAATCATTACATGCTCACTAACTCACTACATGCTCACTAACACTACATGCTCACTAACTCACTACACACTCACTAACTCATTACATGCTCACTAACTCACTACACACTCACTAACTCACTACATGCTCACTAACTCACTACTCACTCACTAACTTACTACACGCTCACTAAGTCACAGCTCGCTCACTAACTCACTACATGCTCACTAACTCACTACTCACTCACTAACTTACTACACGCTCACTAAGTCACAGCTCGCTCACTAACTCACTACATGCTCACTAACTCACTACTACATGTTCACTAATTCAGCCTTGTTAGAAAGTGTTTATGCGAATCTCTGTTAGCTTAGCGCTAACAATCTCCTAGAATCCTAGAGGGATGCTAGCAGAAGTTATCAGTATCGCTGAGGTGGTTTTTTTCCCTCATGTTTTGGTAGTTCTGACATTTTTATTTTTGACCTCTTTTATGACTTGTTTGCTGTTTTTCTCAACGTTAGTCAGAAGCGGTTCTCATTTCTGCGTACTCTTCCCCTGTTGTGCAACAGAACCTCCAGTCTGAAGCGTAACAGGAGTGTGATCCCGCTGCGCCGCTTTATTTCCACACAGCATGACCAACCAGCTCCAGTAGCCCGTGGTGTGGTCATGGGTGTTGCTTAGGTTAGTTTTTCCCCTGACTTTCCCCTGAACTGCACAATTTAGTGCTTCCCTGCTTATAATACACCTGAATCAGCTCACCACCAAACCAACAAACCAGACGGTCTTAAACTGTGAGTGTGTTTAATGCAGTAAGATACATTTTACATGCATTTCATCAATGTACAGTCTTAGCCAGCCAAGAACATTGTTTATTACTGTTTATCTGGGCTGTAAGTGTGTTTTGCTAGTAAAAACACTACATAGCATTAGAATAAATACAGCAAAAAGTGGTGGGAATGTGTTGTTTTCCATCACCTGATTTCATTTAATGAAGGACTGATTAGATAAACGAGATATTGATGGTAACTGTAGATACTAAACTTCCTTAATGAGAGCTTTGGAAATGGTTTAACTAATGACACATCAAATATCAAGGGATTGTTTATTTGTTTACTTGTTTTTTTCTAATATTAGTAAATAAATGCTTACTAACCAGATAAATGGCTTTACACATCAATTTCCCAGATGCCTAAAACCTTTGCACTGTAAATTTGAATTCATATCTTAATACATAATCATATTTTCCCAAAAAATATGAGAGACAAAGAACAGAGAAAATGTTCCTTCAAGTCGAGTATATGATCTAATAGTTAATAGTTAATGGCATAGCATCAAATGCCTTTCCATACTACATACTAACCTCATATGTACAAAAAGGCAACTTCACAGGACAAAGAAAAAGGGAACCTGGTTAAGGGAACCAGATGTTTTTCCAAGTCATTTTGGAGCCTTTCTATTGGTCCATTCATCATGAAATTTGGATAAAGTGCACAGAGCAGCTGGTATTTTCAACTGATCACAAAAAATGTGAAAAATGTTCGGGAGTGCCCTCTTGGCTCTGTGCCAGTGACATCCCATTAATGAGTGTTTTTTATTTATTTGTGTCGGCCGTTCATCTCGCACCGTTAGCACTGATGTCCACGTCATCGCTGGCTCTCATGGAGCTTCTGCATTCTTGTTGTTCTTCTCTTCCAAAGTTCCTCAGCCTCCCTCGTGTCCTGGTGGGTCAACAAAAAAGCACAAACAGAACAAATCAGTCGTCCATCACCTCGCCGTCTGCAGCTCAGCTCAGATGCTGTGGTTTATCGTGGCGAGGACGTGTGTGTGTGTGTGTGTGTGTGTGTGTGTGTGTGCTGGGTTGTGCAGGTGTAGCGGCGCTGCAGCCCTGTTTATTCTGGCTCTGTATTCTGTCTGGAGCAGACGCTCTGATGGAGGATAAACATCACCTCCCCTCCTGCGGCCTCAAGGGCCCAGCGCTGCCCCGGCGCCCCAGACTGCTGTTTATACCATTATTCTCTGCTTACGCTGCGGCTGATGGGAGATTTCGATTGATGATCACTGCTTATCTTCTTCTGAACTGTTTGTTTTTCCCATTGGAATCACTTTAATCAAAGGACTTATTTGACTTGAATAAACTGAGTTAAACTGCTTAGATGAAGCATAATTCATAGTAGATACTGAATAATTCAGAGTGGTTTCTGAATAATTCATAGTAGATACTGAATAATTCATAGTGGTTTCTGAATAATTTGTAGTGGTTTCTGAATAATTCATAGTAGATACTGAATAATTCATAGTGGTTTCTGAATAATTTGTAGTGGTTTCTGAATAATTCATAGTAGATACTGAATAATTCAGAGTGGTTTCTGAATAATTCATAGTAGATACTGAATAATTCATAGTGGTTTCTGAATAATTTGTAGTGGTTTCTGAATAATTCATAGTAGATACTGAATAATTTGTAGTAGATACTGAATAATTCATAGTAGATACTGAATATTTTGTAGTAGATACTGAATAATTCATAGTAGATACTGAATAATTCATAGTGGTTACTGAATAATTCATAGTAGATATTGAATAATTCATAGTAGATACTGAATAATTTGTAGTGGTTTCTGAATAATTCATAGTAGATACTGAATAATTTGTAGTAGATACTGAATAATTCATAGTAGATACTGAATATTTTGTAGTAGATACTGAATAATTCATAGTAGATACTGAATAATTCATAGTGGTTACTGAATAATTCATAGTAGATATTGAATAATTCATAGTAGTTACTAAATAATTCATAGTAGATACTGAATAATTCATAGTGGTTACTGAATAATTCATAGTAGATACTGAATAATTCATAGTAGATACTGAATAATTCATAGTGCTTACTGAATAATTCATAGTAGATACTGAATAATTCATAGTAGTTACTAAATAATGCATAGTAGTTACTAAATAATTCATAGTAGATACTGAATAATTTGTAGTAGATACTGAATAATTTATACAATATACTGAATAATTCATAGTAGATACTGAATAATTCATAGTAGATACTGAATAATTCATAGTGGTTACTGAATAATTCATAGTAGATGCTGAATAATTTATACAATATACTGAATAATTCATAGTAGATACTGAATAATTCATAGTGGTTTCTGAATAATTCATAGTAGATACTGAATAATTCATAGTAGATACTGAATAATTCATAGTGGTTTCTGAATAATTCATAGTAGATACTGAATAATTCATAGTAGATACTGAATAGTTCATAGTAGATGGTAGTGAATAATTAATGAGTTACTAAATAATTTATTCTCATTACTGAATAAGATGAATAACTGAATAATAAACATACAGTTTACAGTGTTTTTAAATCACTAAATCAGTACATTAATAAACAAATTCACAGTGAACATAGTGCAGATGTACTCAGCTGTGAGTGAAGTGTGGAGGCTGAAGAAATGAGACGGGTGTGTTTACTGTTTTACATCACCTCAGTGAGTCATCTGAGCCTTAAAGCGACTGTAGATTTAAAGAGTTATGAATGCTGTAAAAACATCCAGTTATTTTTTATGAATGTCCTCATGTGCACAAGGCAGTGTTGAACAGACAGCACTAATCGCTTAAAGAGTGGACCGAGGTCTGTTCTTGGTGAGAAACTCCTTGTCTTGTCTGACACACCTGCTGCTGAAGTGACCTCTCAGAGAGAGAAGAGGAACGCTGCCCCCTGCTGGTGAGCAAAAACTTTTCCCACAAGTCTGAGTTGCAAGACGTGTTTGGTGTCTGTTTTTTCAGGTCTGCGCTGGAGCTACGAGGCTAATGTAGCTGATGTAACTCAGTTAGCGTGGTGCTAATGGAACGCCTGAACGATCACACTCAGCTCAGACTGTGTGGGGCTGATCAGTATCCCTAACAGACTTCATTACCGTAAAGACTCAAGTACATCAGCATCGCTAAAATCGACAGCATATCTATGTTCCCAACGTTCTATGTTCCCAGGGTCTTATGTTCCCAAGGTTCTATGTTCCCAAGGCCCTATTTTCCCAAGAATATAGGTTCCCAGGGTTATAGAATAGGAGCTTTTCCCCAGATCCTCTGTTCCCATGGATGTATGTTCCAGGGTTCTATTTGTTTCAGGGTTCTATGTTTCCAAATCTATATGTTCCCAGGGCTTTAGGTTCCTAATATTCTGTTCTCAGGGTTCTATGTCCCAATGTTAAATGTTCCCAAGGTTTTATCTTCCTAGGATTGTTCTATGTTCCCATGGTCCTAAATTCTCAAGGATCTATGTTTCCAGGGTTCTATGTTCCCAGAGCTCTATATTCCCAATGTTCTGTGTCCCCATGGTTCTATTTTCCCAGGGTCATATGTTCCCAAAGCTCCATGTACCCAAGGTTCTCCATCCCCAATATTCTATGTTCTCAGGGTTCTATGTTCCCAAGGCCATATGTTTCCAGGGTTCTGTATTCCTAGGGACATATGGTCCCAAAACTCTATGTTCCCAAGGCTCTATTTTTCCAGGGTTCTATGTTCCCTGGGTCCTATGTTCCCAAAGATCTTTGTTCCCAGGGTTCCATGTTCACACAGTTGTATATTAATGGGCCCATGGGAACAAAGAACCCTGAGAACATAGAAC